TCTGGCAGGTCAGCCCACCCTGTTTATATGGGAAAGCTGTACAAAGTCTGGTAATGACTCAGCTTGGGCTTCAGAGCCTTCTGGGCTCTCCTCTGGCACAATAGCAGATAGCATTGTGTGGCTAGTTAACATAATTAAAATTGAATACAGCTGGGCTGAGGCTGGCACCGTTAATCCCAACACTCATGAGACAGAGGCAAGTAGATCTCTCTGAATTTGAGGCCAGCCTGGGCTACACAGCGAGTTCCAGGCTAGCCAGGACTGTTTCACAGAGAAACCCTATCTTGGGAAAAAAAGAAAAAGTTAATATAATTCAGATGCACTCCTTAGTTTCACTCACCCTGCTTTAAGAGCTCAGCAGCTGTATCTGATTTGGCTGGTGGCCACTGTATTGGGGAGTATAGACAGATTCCTTCTACCACTAATTAGGATTTCAGACCCACACTATGACGAAGCATTTATATTGTTAGCAATGTAACCAAATACCTGACAAAAACACATTGAGGGAAAGTTTGCTTAAGTAGCTAATAATTTCAGAGAGTCCAGTCCACAGTCACGTGGTCTCTATGACAGTGAGAGTATGTCGTGAAAGCACCTGGCTATATCTTGGATGAGAGAGGAAGGGATCCAGGCATAATTGTCAAAGGCACACCCCTAGTGACCTAATTTCTCCTGAGAGATAGCATCACCAGCTAGGGACCAAGCATTAAACACATAAGTCTGCTTTCCGTGCAAACCCTAACATCAGAGCTTTGTGCCCTGAAGTGATGCTTTGTGGGTGCTAATATTGGGACTGCCTGGGTTGAAATGGCCTTGTGTTGAGGTTTTTATAAGTCGAGTTCACTCACTCAATGGTCTTCTCTCTCTCTCTCTCTCTTCTACCTGCAGTACTGGAGAGCTGGCTGGACTATACTGGGGAACTGGAGCCCCCAGAGCCGCTGGCCAGGCTTCCACAGCTCAAGCATTGCATCAAGCAGCTGCTGACTGACCTGGGCAAGGTGCAGCAGATTGCCCTCTGCTGCTCAACATGAGATTGGGCACCCAAGACAATTGGAGCACAATCCTGGCATGTCTGCCGGGGGAGCTTTGAATATTTAAATAAATAAACTTAGATGCTGAATGCACGTGACACTGACTGACTTCAGGGATTTAGCCAGGAGTGTGATGGACACTGGGACAAAGAGACCACTTTGGCTGCTGGAGGGCAGGGCACTCTTGATCTGGAAGTGGACCACAAAAGCAGCGTATAGTCTTAGAACCGCCTTCTGTGCACATCGTTGAACGAAAGCGAGTCTTTGCACGTCTTCACTTGGAATCGTGCCACTGGTGATAAATGGAATGAGAGCCAAAAAAAAAAAAAAAAAAGGAAACAGTTGTAAATTCCAATTGCAGTTTATTTAATTGACTTTTGGGTCAGGTTAAGGCATGTGCCAACCCCTCTGGTTTCTCTGCCTGGTGTGATATATGGGCAGCAGGCACCGTCTTCATCTTTCAGCTCCATTGGAATGTTGGGACTTGACTGTGCCGTGCAGTTTGGGAAGGAGAGCAGGGGCCTTGAGGGCACTGCTTCCTCGAGACTTCATTTTCTTGCCACGTCTCTTGCATGATTTCACGGTACAGGGGACAAGGTTTTATGTTGTTTTCTAGCCCAGAGTTGGCTGGGCCATGGCTTTGGCAGCCATGCCGAAACTGCTGAAGGAGAACTAGCATCTTGCTGCAATGAGAATCTACAAGGAATCCCAGAAGGAAGCAGGCAGGGTCTGGAACCCAAAGGACAGCATTTTCTACACACGTATTAATTCCAACAACTTCCCACTTCTGTTTAAAGTTTAAAAATGTTTCCCAAGATTTTGAACTTTACTGTAAAGATTTGTTACAAAGAATGTGGGAATTACCTTATTTTATATTGTCATCAGCAACTTGAGATTCTGTGTGCCGCTTTCCTCCTCTCTGGAGCTGGCATTCTCAGAGCTGCTGATGCACTAACACTTTCAATTTCCTGTTTGTATTACTTGTGAGGTCAAGGTGATTATGCTGCTTAAGGTCCAGGTACAACCTGTTTGTACCTTAGGAGAGAATATTTGTGTTGTTTCGAAGGTTCTGGTTCCATGTGTAATTGCTATATTGTTTTGTTTTACCTTACTAGGCAAAGTTTAAAAGGTTCATGCTTTGAGAACTTCATTTAACCAGTTTTTGCATCACTAAAGGCAAATATCAGAGTACCTTTATCCATCAGCACCCACAGATTCATCATGAGTTTTGGAATCTGTAATATTTTAGGTGGTAAATGTCAAGGAGCCAATGTCAGTAGCTAATAATAGTAGCAGCATCTCCAGCTGCCTTGGCATAACAGGTCATTGTGGCTGTCAGTTGAGGCCTATGTATGGAGAAGTTTCAGGAGTGAATGCCCTGTCCAGTGGTTTGTTCACCATCTGCTATAAAATGAACTGCAGGGCAAGCAGGAGTTGACCTGGCATAGCTTAGGGAGTGTGTGAACATAATGAAGCCAACACAATCCCTTATAAAAGTCTGCTTCCCCCTGCTAACATGTTTCTGTTGTGGGAAGAAATGCTCCCGGAGTCAATGTGACATTGGTGTTTTGGATGATTTATTAATAGCTGCATTTTGAGAACTGGATGATGATTGTCTGAAATGGGAAGAACCAAGATAATTATCTATAGCTACAACTGTGTGAGGTATGATGATTGTTATATTAGATATTGGGGACAGAGAGATGGCTCAGTTGGTAAAGGTGCTTTCCACCAATCCTGCTGACCTGAGTTCAATCCCCAGGACCCACATAGTAGAGAATTGACACCTCAAAGTTGTCCTCTGACACACATACACATAATAGACAACTGAAATAAAGGTGTTAAATTAGGTTTTTTTTTTTTTTTTTTTTTTTTTTCCTTTTATGTAACTACCCTTGAGTATCACATCTGGGGAAGCTGTAACTTTGAAGGCAATCAGTTTTGTCTCGTTTTCAAAGTTGAAAGCAGAAACTGAATGATCCTAATTTTGCCATGTGGTCATTGCTGGGTTTGTCATTTAGGTTTTGTGAAGGAAGTAATCTTGTTTCATTGTGACTTTTGTTCTTAGGGAAGCAAAACAGAGTCCCCATGTTCTGATAACCTCGGTTCTTCCCTAACTTAAAGCCATGTTGAGGGGCTCCACTCCTAGTTCCTGGGTCACAGTGAATTAACCCCTAAGTTGGAGCACTGGAATCTGTCATTTGCAAACAATGTTGATACCATTTAGAAAGATGTGCACTACCTAAGTTCTGTCTGTTAAGAAAAACTATCCATCCACCTATGGAAGGTCCCCTAGACATAACAGTTCTGGTTTGATGAATCATTTAAGTATGCAAGGTGGATCCTGGCTGAGCCAGCATTGCACTGTGGATATGTATCTGTGTTTACGAGCTATTAGACAGAAGGCACTGTACATAGGAGTGTTGCTCTCAAGCAATATTCGCAAAACATGCAAACTTCTGTATCTAGAAAAAAATAAAGCAGGTTCTTGTTGCCATGTGTCAGTCACACATTACTGGAGTATAAAAGGTTGTGATTTTTGTTTGCTTTGTTTGTAGGCAAGGTCTCATATATAGATAGCCCTGACTGACCTAGAACTCCCAGAAAACACCTGCCTCTCCCTCAAGTGCTAGGATTAAATCCTATGCTATCACACCCAGTTGTTCTTCAGATAGCCTTGCTATGTAGTCCAGGCTTGCCAAAGTTGGGCTTCAAACTTGCAGTCATCCTGCTGTGGCCTCCTGAATGCACCATCGTTACCCAGCAAGAGTCAAATGCTTTATCCTACTCTCAAAGTGTTATATAGTCAATGCCTCTTATAGCACGCCCGCTTTTCTATGATAATCCATACACGGAGACTTGTAGTCTCAATAAACACCATGAAGTAACAAAATTGTTTCAAATAATCTAAAGCTAAATGGTCATACCAGCAAATCTGGCTCACGCATTGTGGTGGAAGCTGCAGATTTACTAGTTTTGGTTGCAGGAAGCAATGCAAGAAGGGGCCCTGTCTGGGCGGGGGTGGCACATGCCATTAGTCCCAGCGAATTCAAAAAACAAAAATAAAGATGGGGTCCTGCCTTCCCTACAGAGATTCACCCTCTACTGGAATCTGCTGCTTCATATAAACGCAAATGCACACATCCGCACAGCAGAACCCTCAAGGAAAACTGATTTTCATTCCTTGAAAAATTCCTTCCTTTGGTAGAGTTGAGGGTTAGAGGAAGTTGTTAAAAACAGGAGTCCCCTGAATACATTAAAATGAGGGCTTCTAGCAATGGTACTTAACACCTTGAAAGCTCATTCAATTCCCGAGTGAAGCTAATAAAAGGAGAGGAATAGGCAGAAGTACTAAGGAATTGGGAGGTGTCCACTCTTAACCTCTTCATGGTATATATTCTGGTCATGTTTTTAAACCTTAAAGGTCATAAACTGTATTACAGTTTCAGGCAAAACATTTCTCTAATATAAACAGTTGCACATGCAAAGCCGGTAGACCCTGACCCCAGCCCCTACCTCCCGAATGCTGAGATTAAAAGCATGAGCCATGACACTCAACTCAGCTAACAGCATTTAACAGGGACACTTATTTTACTGCCCAGTTTCCAAAGCACTATGTATTGCTGTCTGCTCAAGATCGGATACTAGATAGTATAGGGCAGAGTGTAGTATGGAACACTAGACAACCATAACCGTCATTAACGTGGCCTTTTGCAAGACACAAGCTTAGAAAGTTTAGAAAAATATTGCCCATTGTGGTAGAGGGATGGCCTAGATGTAGTCAACAGGGTAAGAAGGGAGAAATTTCTCTCCTAAGGGCAAAATCGTGCGAATCCACGGTGGTCCAGGAATAGCCAATAAAACCTCTACAGGCTCCCACAATCCTCTATCAACTGCAAAGGCGGGGAATAACCTCCGGAAATAAGCCCAATAAATAAAGGACGAATGAAAAACACACCAGACCACAGGAGCTGTCAAAATTCAACTTTCATTAACTCAGGGTAGGGTATCAGTCCAAGGAGCCCCCCGGCTCCGCTGCTCAGCCAGTGATGCGCACATCCGCGCGGCGCCGCAGCCGCCGGGCCCGGGCCGCCTCGGGCAGGATGGCCTGCAGCTGCTCCTGCACCAGCATCTCCACGATCTGCTCCTTAGTGCGGATGTCAGGCCGCAGCCACTGGCGGGACAGCTCCCGCAGCTGCCGGAAGGCTTCCCGGGGCCCCGCCGCGTCCTGGTAGCGGAACTGCCGGAAGCGCTGGCGGAACGTCTCGGGGCCGGGCCGGGAGGCACCCGGCCGCGGGGCGGCTTCGGCCTGCAGCGCCGCGTCCAAAGGTGCGGGCGTGCCAGGGAGCTCCGGCGCCGCGGGGCTCACGGAGTCGGGCTCAGGGTCGGCACAGTCACCGGCTCCTTCCTGCTGCTCGGGCGGCGCCGCGGGGCTCCGGGCGGCCAGGCTGGGCTCCGGCGACGCCATGACTACGGCTCTCGGCGTCACCCTTTGTCCCGCAACGGCGGACTGGCTCTGCGTCTGCGCGGAGACGGGGAAAGAGACGCGGGCTGAAGGGCAGAGCCCGTGCTGCCCCAGTGGGGCGCGGGCTCAGGAGAGGGCGAGGGCGAGCCCAGCTTACCTCCACCTGCGAAGCTCTGCGGCGGCCGGAAATGGGCGACTCCGCGGGCCTCCCCAGGAGCGGGCCCAAGCGCCACATGCCGGAAGCCACGCCTCTTTTCAGTCACGTGAAGTTTGACCGGACCAAGGTCTTGTGGTTCGCAGATGTCCAGTCTTCGGAGAGTAGCGATAGCGACTCTGAGGACTTCCTATACCAGGAGAAGCTGCAGAAGAAGGAGGCGGAGAAGGTGGAGATGGACCAGGAGTCGGGTTCGGAGTCGAAATCCGGGTCCGAAGTGGATTCCAAGTCGGAGTGGGAAGAGATGGAAGAGGAGTTGTGGAAGGAAAGGAAGAAGGTGGCGACTCTACCGAAGGGCTTGCAGGTGACCTGCGCCTGCTAGGCAGATGCTTGGACCAGGATCAGGGAGTAGCGTTGATGGTCCTGGGTAAAAGAGAGTGAGGGCTGGCCAGGGGCTTGTCGGATGACCTGGGCGGGACAGCTAGACACCGGCTCTGACAGTACTGTCTCTCTCAGCCGTGGTGGCGTGGCACATGCCTTTAATTCCAGAGGCAGGAGGATCTCTTTGAGTTCGAGGCCAGCCTGGTCTATGTAAGAGTTTCAGGACAGCCAGGGCTTCACAGAGTAACTCTGTCTTGAAAAAACAAGTAAAAGAAAGGCCTCCCAAACCAAACCGGTAATTTTAGATTTAGAGGCCACTCCTGAGTTACAGAGTGAGCTGAGACTCTTAAGTACACATATGCATATCTTCTCGCCTGCTTAAGTGCAATTGCACTCACCTTATTTTGAGGATGACAAAATACTTGGGCAATATTCTGTTTTTTGTTTTTTTGTTTTTGTTTTGTTTTGTTCCATTTTCCGAGACAGGGTTTCTCTGTAGCTTTGGAGCCTGACCTGGAACTATCTCTGTAGACCAGGCTGACCTCGAACTCTGAGAGATCCACCTGCCTCTGCCTCTGCCTCCTGAGTGCTGGGATTAAAAGCATGCGCCACCAGTGCCCGGCTTGGGCAAGATTCTAAAGATGTGTCCCCTAGCACAAAAGCAAATGCTTGAGGGTTGGTTCTTTGTCATTTTTGCTTGTCCTCGAAAACCAAGAAAGAGGTGGTTCTATGGGTGCTACTTTTTAATTGTGGGATTAGTAAGTGAACTGTAATTACGGTGTCGTTGTCCTTTATGTACTTACTGAACCTTTGAAATGTAAATACCCCGAGTTGAGATGTATTATAATGTAGAATACTCATGTGTCTGTGTAGGAAAAGGGTTTTTTGTTTATTACACATTGGAACATGTTATATTACTTTGTATATATTGGGTCAAATAAACTATATTATTATACTTAATTTTACATACGTCTTTTTATTTTTGAATGCAGCTGCTATGAGAATTGAAATTACACATATGGTTTGTGGTCTATAGTTGTACACCTGCTGTCTAGCGTGTTGGAGTCAGGCTGTCTGGTGGCCCCCTCTTTGCAGGGTTTCCTTGCTTTAGCACCCTAGCGGTAAATAATGCCTACCTCCCAGGTGTTGGGAGGAGTGACTAAAGCTCTGGGAAAGATAGGCTTTAAAAAGTGTTTTCAGACCTGGGGAGATGGCTCAGTTGGTAAGGAAGGGTGCGTCCTTCAAAAGCATGAGGGCCCAAATTCCCCTGCACCCATGTAAAAAAAAAAAAAAAAACAACAACAAACAACACAGGCATGGTTGAACTCACTTATAACCCTACTACTGGGGCCAGAGACAGGTGGATCTCAAGAGCTGGTTCGGCAGCCTAACCAAAATCTATGCACTTTTAAATTCAATTTGAGGCCCTATCTGGAGGCAATAAAGAGAACAATAAAGTAATATGCCCTCTGGCCTTCTCACACACCTGTACACTTGCATGAGTGCATCACACAGAGACACACATTTTCATTAGATACATTGCCTACAGCCTCTGAACTAGTGTTTTTTAAACTATGAAATAAAAATTGTGGACGTCAAAACTGTAATCTCTGTCAAATTCTGGCAGATGGTATGTTCTGTTTGACAGCTTATGAGTAAGGTTTGTATCTCCATTTTTTCAGAAAAGGAACTGAACCCCAAAAAGGGACAGAAACCCCAGGTGATATGTTCCCTGGAGCTAGAGAGATGGTTGGTTAAAAGAACACTGGCCAGGTGGAGGTAGTGCACACCTTTGATCCCAGCACTGGGGAGGCAGAGGCAGACAGATCTCTTGAGTTCAAGACCAGCCTGGTCTACAAGAGCTAGTTCTAGGACAGCCTCTAAAACCACAGAGAAACTCTGTCTTGGGGAAAGAAAAAAAAGTTCATGCTGTGGCTAGTATTATGGCAGAGTCCTTGGCAGAGGTGGGCAGATCTCTATGATATTGAAGCTACCATAGTCTACACAATGAGTTCTAGGCTAGTCAGAACTGCATGGTGAAACCCTGTACCCACCCAAGTCCCAAAAAGAGTGCATACTTCTTTCAGTTTTCATCCTGAGGTAGGGCAGCTCAAACTCACCTGTAATCAGTTCTAGATAGTATAGGGCATTTTATGTCTCTGGCCTCTGCCGGCACCTGCCCTCAATGTTTATGCCCAAATGAACACTCTCACACACAATATTAAAAATTAACAAGTTGGAGGTGTGTCTGGAAGAAGTTACTGGCAGGAATCAGGTGAATATTATCAAAATACATTGTATGCATCTACGAAATTAAAGAATAAAAATATATTAAAAATAAAATAGAACCTTTTTTTTTGTAGTTCCCTAAGAACTTTTCTAGAGTGTATTGCCTGTACAAAGTCCTACAGTGAGTAAAACCAAAACTTGCCAACTGCAGGCTAGATGGGGAAGTGGGTAGGACTTGGAAGAAGGCTGAAAATGAAGTTGGAAAGTTGGCAAGAGAAAGAAAGTCCCAAAGAGCACACGGTTCATGGTTAGAATTTAGACCTTTTTCTCCTGAGAAGGGATGCCTGAGAATCAGGATTGAAATCTACCTCATTTCCATCCGTAGTGGAATCCTGGGCTGTTAGAGATGGAAGTGGGGACCTTTGATCTACATCAATCATGGAATGCTAGAAAGGAGAGGGAATTTGAAATTCAATTGAAAAACATTAAATTCATTTCTAAAGCCTTTATGATTTAGCATAGGGTCTAGAAAAATCTCTCCCTGGGGAATGTGCATATACTTCATATTATTTCAGGTAAGTTATATATATCTTTGAATTCACTTAGAGACTACTCAAATTATATGCATATGTATACATACACACATATAATTCTATTTTGCAGATTGAGAAGCCAATACCCCAAAAGGCAGAAAGTTGGAAGACTATCAAACGCCTAGTAAGTGGCTCCACGAATTTTTAGAATGCTATGCCAATATTGTTATCATATTAGCCCTTTTTATTCTAATTTAGATTTTCTTAGGAAGGGATCTTAAATCAGTAATTTCTTAGCTTCCAACACAAGCCCCGGATCTCAGTAAACATTCCATAAATATTGATTGATGAAATAAAATGCAAGCATGGATTCTGTCCCTTTCATGTAAAGGGAAGGCTTAAATATAATTCTCTGGCTTTGCCGAAGCTTTTCAAGTGTTTGAATTAGTATCCTAGTTAGCATTAATTACCAATTCAACACAGCCTACAATTATGTGGAAAAGAAGTCTTAATTGAGTATTCTGTCAGGTTAGTGTATGGGCTTGTGTGTAAGGGACTTGTCAATCATGTCACAGGGCGTAGCCCACCATGGGTGGTACCATTTCCTGGACAGGTGGTTCTGGGCTGCATAAGAAGGTTAGGTAAACTGGGCCCTGGTGGCACCCGCCTTTAATCCCAGCACTTGGTGAGGCAGAGGCAAGCTGATCTCAATGAGTTCAAGGCCAGTATGGTCTACAAAGTGAATTCCAAGACAGCTAGGACTCAGAAAACCATTAAAAACAAACAAACAAAAAGCAAAGTTACAAAAAACGGTAGAGAAATTGTGTGCTGGGTGGGCACACCTTAAATCCAAGCACTTGGGAGGCAGAAGCAGAGGCAGGTGGATCTCTGTGAGTTCCAGGCCAGCCTGGTTTACAGAGTGAGTTCTTAGACAGCCAAGGCTACACAGAGAAACACTGCCTTGAAAAACAAACAAAAAGAGTAGTAGAGAAATTGGTGGGGTTTTTTGGGGGGGTTGGTTTTTCAAGATAGGGTTTCTCTGTGTAGCTTTGGAGCCTGTCCTGGAACCTCTGTAGACCAGGCTGGCCTACGAACTCAAAGAGATCCACCTGCCTCTGCCTCTCTGAGTGCTGAGACTGAAGGCATGTGCCACCAGCGCCTGGTGAGAAATTGCATTCCTAATACAGTTCTTCAGTAGCAGCCTTGTTGGTTATGGTTTGAATCTGGAAGCTCCCTCCAGGGTCCTTTTAAACGCTTGGTCCTCAGGTGGCAGTGCTGTCTGGGATGATGGGTGATTATGGGAGGGCAGAGCCTGCTCAGGGTTCCTGCCCTGTGCTGCTGTTGCTTCTGGGCTGCAGGCACTAAACCTCAGCCTTTGTTCTCTCTACTCTCCTCTGACCTGGGATTGAAACTGTTGCAATAATCTTTGAGTGCTAAATTTCTCCCCATATTTAGATTACAAATATCTATTTGCTGCTTGGTTTCTGAGTCTGGACAATCAAGGATACTATACTTCTTTAAGCCCAAAGAGAATTAATTGGAATTATAAACATTTGCTTGTATATCACTACTTTTTCTTTCAGAAGTATCTTTGCTTTTTCATCACTGTAACCAAATATCAACTTCAAGAAAAAGACTTATTTTGAATTGTGGTACTTGGGCAGGTAGGGTAGGGGTGGGGTAGGCTTCTTCAGTTCTCCATGGCCAGGAAGCAGAGAAAGAAGAAAACAGGAAGAAGGTAGGACAAACCCTGCC